TTGACATTAACAATTTTTCTCTTTCTTAAATTAACTTGTTTATCCTCTAACAATAGACATTTTGATGAAATATAATTTAAAGTAACGGCATCACTAGAATCGACAGCTTCCCCTACGTTTGTTAACCTTTTGTTTTCAATATTAAAATTTTGTTTATCAGTTAGCTTGAAACCTATTCCTGAAGGTCCTACTACAACGTTTTCTTTGGAAGTAAAACCTATATAACCTCCAAACTTGTCGATACTTGGTTTCATCGTCTTGAAAGTCAAACATCAAATGATGCTATTCTCTTATTTTGATTGATATAACTATGTTTTTATTCATGACGTAATATTTAATTGTGTATAAATATATATTTATATCAGATAAATGAAAGGGAGATAAATTAATCTGAAACAAGGTAGGTAATAAATAACACTGAACACAGATTGTATGTCAAAATAATTTATATTTATTTACAAACATATCAAAATTACAAATATACATAACAAATGTCAAATATAATTGTTACACTTACAAAATTATGAAAAAAAATCTATGTATTAATTTGAAGATTCAATGGTTACAGTAATTAAAAACATAAACAATCAAACTAAATAGATAAGTTAAGTTTACAGTTTTTTTCATTACAGTCATAATACTTTCTATTATTCCACTATTTACATAAATTTACTGTAAAGCTCAAATTACTTGATTTATTTGTAACTAGATAATGTCCCTTCTTACAATGACAGACACATGATTGTCAACAATTATTTCCTCTAATTTACAGTCCGGATCATCGTGATCTTCGGAACCACCGTTTAAGACCCAACACACCCTAGCAACCTTTATTAGGACAAGATCTGCGATGTGACTACAGTAATTAATGCTGAACGGCTCGTTTCCATGATTTATTAGGTTAACCCTGACTACGTCTGTATGGTTGGAGTCAATAGACGCTGGAGAGTCTAAAACTGTCACCCCGAAAGTTTCCGCTTGCCATGCTACCGGTCGAATTTGTCCTTCATAACCTTCAGGTATTCTAATTTTTATACCCGCAGATATGGTTTTTCTTTCTCCAGGATTTAAGGTTATAGTGTAAATACAGGAAGGGAAAAATGCGTGCAGAGGTATAGCAACCCGACCCATGTTCTCGTATTCAGGCATATTAAGGAAGCCCTCGTCAACAGAAAGTTGTTCGTACCTGACCGGTACAGTTTCCAAAAAAACATTATCTGAAAAGTAAAAAACTAAATTAACTTACATACAAATCTAACAAATAATTTGAGCTTAACAAGAATCATTGGTCATTTTAGCTTTTTTTGCAATCAGTTCTTTGTGTAAATCAATTTTCCTTTTTTTATTCTCAATTAGTTTGTAATGGCCATATGCCATGGTATGGATATTATCATTTAATACAAATCTTTTATCATCATGAGACGATAACGCTAGTTTTCGTACTTTCGTTGTGTATACATCATGTTTCCTACTCCTAATTATATTCATTTCTTTGTACTGGTTTTGATTACAAAACAAAGCTCTCTCGTAGTCCTGAAAAGTTATTTCATTTTTAACAACACTTTTCTTTACACCCTTAGCACGTTTCTTACAATCATAATTCTTACTAAGAGTAGTATATAGCTTTGTCCTAAGACCAATGAATTTCTTTAGGGGAACTGATAAAGTTTCATCTTTCATAACACCAAGTCTTTTCTTATTATCGAGAGAGAAACAAGCGTGTGTTATTGGGTACTCACTAGTGTCAAAGTAATGTATATTCTCCTTGATTTGCTCATATACGTCAACTGAGTTTACATTTATAAGGTAACTATCCGTATCTGTATATAATAGTTCTACATTTCCTTGACCAAATACACGAGGAAAAATATCATAAAAATATCTATACATTACGATTTTGCTTAGTTCAAGAATAGCCATACCTACTGCAATGGGTTTGTTAAAATTTACTTTAGTTTTATTTAGATGAACTGCTATCAGTTTTTCTGTAAATATAGTTCTATCACGAAAATTAGGCTTAGCAATAAGCTTATCGAGCCTTTTAGTGCTACAAACTATTTCCATATTCATTCTGTTTCTTACGTTTTCCATACATTTGCCATAAACCGAATTGTTCATGAGTTTGAAAAACTCCTTTTCAAACTCATTTTGCGCATTTTTTCTAAATGTTGTGTTTTTTTCGATGTATCCATACAACCACTTAGACTGAACAAATTTCATACCTCTATGGATTTTAACCAAAACCAATCCATGCTCTACGGCCTGTTTTAACGCTTGGCTGTGAATTATGTAATTACGTTTAGGTTCTAAAGTTGTTAACAATTTTGAATGTTTACTACCTGGTGGTACTTTTCTTTGGGCGCAAAATGGTAAGTCGTTGTGTTGTTCATGTAGATGTGCCGGATAATCTAGATCTACCTCAAGTATAAACCCTACTTCATCATTTTCACCAATATCATTAATTTTATTTTTTACTTCATCAATTTCAACAGGGGTTAACCATTTAAAGTCCTTTAACGGTAAACTTTCTCCCATTGCAGCCCCATAAAGGTTATTTATATCTAGGAATAATATAAAGTTTGAATTATCAACTGTCCAGAGTCCCTGATCCATAGGTTTGACACCAGGTTGTGATTCCGAGTCAAGATTTGTTTCTGAAACTAAATACTTATTTGATGCCTCGCAGTAACGTTTAGTGCACATAGAAATACCACCACGAATACCAGCTTCTATGAACATGTACTGTTCATAGCTTGTTAACAAATCGATTTCAACTTTAGTCAATTTAAGACACGCGTCGAACGAAAGGCCAGGAGCTGTGAAATACCAACCTGGGTCCAAACCATAATTGGATTTACAAACTTTTCGGAAATTTTCAAATACATCGCTTAATAGTAACACATCAGTCTTAAGGTAGATATCAGAAAATTCTCCTAAGGTTTGACAGTTAAATTTGTTCCAAACCTCAACAGCCCTATTATAATCTTCTACAGCAACTTCTGACTTATTTAGAGAGCTGTAAAACTGATCAATAGAAGGCAAGCTAGTCTCATTAAATTTTTCCCAGCCATCTATGTATTCGTAGGGAAAACAGCCTTTTTTTGTAACAATATTAAGTTTATCATAACCGAAATAAGAAAGTGTTTCATTGAATTGATTTTTGTCAAGATTTTTGACTAGTTCATCAAGACTTCTAGACATAAATTTGTACGAATCAAGAAAACGAATTTCAAATCTAGCAGCAACTTTCTTTGATAAAGAGATATACCGTTCTTCTGTATTAGGGATTACCTTTATTTCCATTTCATCATAATCGAGACTTTTAATAATAAAATGGAGGTCATAATTTGACATATTGTGCAAGACTACGGGCAAAAAGTGTGGATTTTGATATGACAAGTTACAATTTGAATGACTTGCACCTCTAAATTTCCCTGTATTAGGGTCGTGATCTCTAACCCTTAAATTATCGGCAGTAAACTGTTCTTCACATATGTGACAGCAAGATGAACGTTCAAACATGTCCACTTCTTCATCCGTTAACTCCATAAGCAACTTATTTTTGTACATCTCGTACACTTTAAGAGCTTCATCTCTGATCTTTTGGCAAAATACCTTCACAGCATTTTCTCCGCGAAAAAGGACTGGTTCTGATTTTTCACCATTACTTGAAACAACATAATAACAAAAACTTGATGGGTAGTGCTTTTGATAGTCAACAGTTGAAGAGGTAGATTGATTTTGCGTAGCATGTTTAGTTTTGCAGGTGTGGGAGTTCTTACAATTCGGTCTTTTACAGTTCAAACAGCATTGATTCAAATTTTTACAGTTGACTCGGAAACAGTTAATACAACATTCATTGGGATTTTTACAGGTAAAAGAATTGCAATTATTACATGGACTTTTTTGTATTAATATACTTTCAAAATCAGCATATACAATGTACGGGACTTGTTGTTGGTGTTTGAAATTTTTAAATTTAAGTTTACAATTATCTTCATTAGGCATTTCTACAGCAACAGGTTCATGATTGTTACATAGCTGTTTATGTACATCGAAGGTAGGTTTATCATTAAAATGGATTAAACATGATTTACAAACAAATTTTCTTCCGTTGTGGTTAGAGGTTTGCGCGCTTACTAATTTATCAAAGTTTTTAATCCACACATAGTGAGATGTTGTTTCATTTTTCAATAGTAATAAATCACGGTGATCATCTTTTTCTTGTTTTGTTACTTTAATAGGATATACAATATATTCCTCACTATTGTGTTTCTTTTCTATTCCAAATATATTTATAGACATATTGTTTATCTGTTCAAATTTAGGTATTGACTTAAGTTTTACAGGATAGTTAATACAGTCCCAGTCATACGCTGCATTCATTTCTGCATTATCAATATAATTGCGGACTCTTTGTGGATTACGAGGTACATTTTTCGCCCATATACTATACTTGAAGCAATAATCATCCTGATTCTTTACATTTACAACAGCTTTCTTGTTTGCAATGAAAGCTGGTAAGGATATATGTTTACATCCTCTTAATGGATAGTATTTATTAATTCTTAGTTCCAGCCCTATAATACTCTTTAGACTCCATCCTGAACCTTTACCTTGGTGTTCTGATTGTTCTGTTAAAAGTTTATCAAAAGCGTTTTTACAATACGTGTTTAGATCTGTACCTAGTAGTATGGGCTCGTTTGCAGTCTTAAATGACAGTTCTTTGATTTCATCTTCTTCTCCTTCAGTTCTTGCATAGATACATTTTAAAATAATATTACATTTCAGAGTTTTCGACTTAAGAAGGTGTTCTTGAATTTTTGAAATAATCAAAGGTTTCGTGTGATATTTTAAAAAATTACCTATATCGATGTATCCTTCACCATTTGTTAAGTAATAGGTTTTAAGCCTACATTTTGCAGCAGACCGGTCTCAATAATTGGCAAATAGCCCAATGTATTTTTTAAATGAGTGTTACTTGCAGGGTGATTGTCAGATTCTCTGTACCACGTATTACATGGTTTACAAAATTTGAGTTTAATCGTTGCAAGATAGTTTTGCATCGTTAACAGATTACAATAGAATAGTAATTTATATTTGACAATGATATGGAGTATTTCTTATTCAAATTATAAAATGTATTTTTCTATAATTGGCTAGTCCCTACGATGAATTGTACTATAGTAATTGATGGTTTTTCACTATCTCTTACTATTGATGATCTTCGAGCGCAGCTCAGCCAGGCGTCTGGTTTGAGCCAACGTGAGGTCTGCCGCAGCGGAGATTATTGTCACTGCCCCAGCATACTCCCCAAACCTGGCCTGGAGCGATGTGAGCTTCACACAATACGGCAGCCGTACTCTGTATGTTTGGTCATCCCTCCGTTCAAACTTAAACAAACATGTAAAATAAAATTAATTTATAATATTTTTTAAACGTGTGTTAAAATAAATTAAGTGCTGTTATCTTCTGTACCTTATCTAGAAATATATCAAAGTTTAGTTATAGGTTTAGTCATAAGTTTAATTTATAGGTAAAAAAATAATTAATCAACCTAAACATTAATTAACAAAGAAAATAATGATGAACATGAAACGATAAATTAAAGCCTTCTTGTTCCATACAATGACAATTTAGTTTTTTGGGCAATCATTTTTGAAATAATCATAATTCAAAATGTAGATATAAAAATAGAAATTGACATTGATAATTTAATTCATAAGTATGATTATTTAATTTAGGGTATTATTACTTGCAAATAAGTTTAATATACAGTGTATTTATCAGATAGTGATATAACATATCATCACTATTGAATCTTAGGTGAATTTGGTTGAAAACATTTTAAAGATATAAAGTATAACGTTTATAAATCTAAAGTTTTTTATCAATAATATTTTTATTTTTTTCCTACCTGAACATTAGGTTGAGGGAACACTGCCTTCAAGATAATGTAGAGGTCTTCAAGACTCTCCAGGCCTGATCCCTCGACGATGGAAACGTCCCAGGTGGAGGGTGTGGTCAGCGCGTTGGAGGAAGACATGATGATAATGATTTTGTGTGCGCGAATTATATATCTATATATATACTGATAAGATATGACGTCTTTGACCTTAACCTCCACACGTGGTATTTACGTTATCAGTCGGAAGTCATTAAACACACACGCTGCAACGCTGCACTTTGTAATGGTTACGCAAATTATTATGTTTTGATAAACTAATGCTGCATCCATGATAATCCCTATCAAGAGTTTTTGCACGCCACGATAAGCCTTGCATCATCAAGGATAATTATCAGCTCAGCGCTAAATATTTATTTAAATATACAAACAGTAGTTTTATGATATAAATGAATTTCAGATATAAATGTACAAATATCCTTATTAAACAAATTGTTTTCATGGTAAACAACGTCATCGTTAAATGACATGCCATAAAAGCGCTTTTAAGTCCACCATAAGTGTTTTTAAATTAATTTATTAAGATATTATTATTTATCCATTATTTCTTACATAAGGCTAACAATTTAACATTCTATTTACTCCACACATTTGGAAAACTATCTACACTCAACACTAAATGGCAGAAGCGAGAAGCGTTTGTCAGTCAAACGTTACCACCTTAAAAATCGAGTTTTAAATAAAAATATTTATAATACATCTTGTCGTACGCCCGACATCAGGTAACAAACACCCTTCCAAACCGACACACCTCCGACACCTTTCCCGTGTGCCAGCCTCCGCGGTGCCAGCTCTCTCAACCGTCCACCCCGACACGCCGACGGAAACTTTCGACACCGTGTGCCAGCTCTCTCACCGTGCCAGCTCTCTCACCCATGTACGTTCTCCCCGTGCCAGTTCTCTCAGCCGTTTAATAACACGGTGGTGCTAGCTCTCTCATTTTTACCCTACTAATGTTCATTTAAATTTAATATTTAATTAGTATTTTTGCAACTTCGAAATTGAAATTTAAAATGTCAATAATAAATTAAAATATATATAATTAAGGGAGATGAAGGTAAATCATGTATGTCAAAGTTTTATTCGAAGATTTGGTCAGTTTTTCTCATATCAGCCTACACAAGATTTAAAATTAAGCATAAACCAAAATGGTGGTATCCACTACTTACCAGATTTAAAAGTCATAACTTAAACGTTTCTATTAAGGCTATAAAAGTTGATTTTTGTTTCTAAAAAGCATTGGAGGATGTGTAACTATTATATATGCAACAGATGTAAAGATTAAAATGTTTCTATTTTGTGTCCTCTTCCCGTTGCAAAGCACGGGTACAACAACTAGTAGTAATATAAAGAAAATCATTCTCTAACAATCTTGCGTGATATCGCACCAAGTGAGCTAGTTTAGGATTTAGTCACCAAAATTCACTGCGAGAGTCAACGGTTACAAAGACGTCTTTGTTAAATACCACAGCTTTAATTTGAAACACAGTGTGTGCCATGTACAATATGTAGCATTTATTTTCTTTCTAGCTCAAGCAATTTTTTCCTTAAAATGTCTATATCCTTTAAATTAATAGTAAATGTAAACTACAGTGGGTAACTAAGTGGTAGGAAACTGCTAGCGCTTGTCGGCGGCGAATACACAAACTATTAGGCCAGTTGCCTCTCAACGCCGCAGAAGCGCTAGCGGTTTCAGTCATCGCTCCTTAGTTGAGATAAAATTACATACTGCGACGTAATAAATACCTCCCCGCAGCAAACCTGCAGACCAAATTATTTCCATTTGCTTGATTAGATTTTTAGTGAAATTCCTCCATTTGGTGGTTTATCTATTTTGTATTTAAATAGCATTACTTTTAACGAGAACTTAGGTTTGCTGCTGCAGGGATGGTAAAAGGTAAAGTGTTTGATAGTGAAACTTAAATAGATTGGTATAAAGAAAATTTTCCAGATTTGATCAAAATATTTCCATTAAAAAGCTAAGTTTACCACTTACTCTCCGTAACAATAATATGGGGATTTTTATTTAATTTTTTTGCGTAGCCAATACCCGTTAAAACACTTCAATGGACTAAATTATTTTGTTGTTAACTCTTAAAAATGGTTTAAGGGAAATTTAATGTTTTAAGGGTCGAAAATTTGAACCCCAATTTTCCCCCTTTCCCATGGAACATACCGTTTCAATAAGTCAATAAGTCATTTATTTGGCCAAAACTGACAATACAGTACTTGCATTAGCCAAGTCAATACAAGTAAAATAAATTTAGTACTGTACATCTTAATAAACCTAAATTCCTTACTGAAAAAAACTATATAACTAAATAACTAAACATACGCACATGGCTTTGTGAATGACCACTAAAGTAGGTACAGTATTCCCGGACGCTGTAAAATGAAAGAAGACTATTAAATAGTTTTACGGAATTGTAATGAAAGTTTCTTTGAAAGAAAGAAGTGAAATGCCGGGGAATTGGTTTCGTCAAATTGTTTCAATAAACATAGGCTTATTAGATTTACACGTTTTTTTCCGAATTTCACCAAAATCTAATGTTTTTTTTAGTTATCGTGCGAACGGACACATAGTCTATATAAATATGAATTTGAACGGATGGTGGCTTTTTGCCTATGTGATCTCAACAAGAAAAAGAAAATCGGTCCCGGGCCAAGGTCTACCATGAGACCTACGGTAATAGCATTTAGTTGTATAAATAGTCAAAGGTACACACAAAGGTAGCTTATTCCCTACATGGGAAATTCACTAATAAAAAAAATTACGACGAGTAAATTTACCTGGTAAAGTCACTTAATATTAATAAATAAATTTGGCAAAGCTACGTAAAATATGGTTATCGTCAGCTTATTCTTGATAAATCATGCGTCAGGAAGACTTCCTTTATCTCTTCCTTAAAGGACGTAATTACGAAGCCCAAATTTCGTCAACACGAATGATGAATGAAAGTTTCGTCCTCGTAAACAAAATTAGGGGGGGGGGTGAAGTGGGGTCATGACCTTCAGCGATAGCCGTGAGAAGTGAGAACTACTAGCGGAAAAGATAGTTGACAGCTTTTACTTAAACGGAGAGATGTATGAATAATTTTGTAGTCCTCACTCGTTGTTGCGTCTTATCCCGAAACTGGCAAGACAAATTTAGTGGTTTATTTACCTCAATTTACATCAAAGTCCAAAATTAGCAACTAAACCGGGTTGCATCATGATCTCGCATATGCCGTCTTCAAAAATATCAAATTTTAGCAACATTAATTCGCTCATTGTACATACACACCAAATTAAAGGACGTTATGTTCTCATTTATACAATGTGAGTGACGTGTTTGTGTGTGTATGATAAGCCTTTTGACTACATCCTAGCGACTGACCATTGTTATATTTCATATAGACATTATATAGAAATCATATGTGATAAGGTCAATAGTTACGAAGGGTAACTATTTTAATTCTATAACTTTTCCTAAGCTAAGTATTTGACAGTGTGGCTCCTGTGACGTGTTAGTAGAGACCGCGAGTGTATTGTTTTCCAGCTTGGAGACTTTCCATCAATAAGTATAGTTGTGTTTGGATTTGGTTTGTTTTCTTTTGTATATTCTTCAGATTACGTAACACAGTATATCAAATGCAATCCATGTGTGGAAGAAATCCCCATTAGGTAGGAGTTAGAAAGGGCAATCAGGTAAATGTAGATTAAGACAGTAGCTAGTCTCTTAAAAACAGAAGGGGTTTTCCTAGTGTAGTCGAAAGAATTAGAATAGGAAAAGTCCATAAACTAACATTTAAAAAGATCTAATGTTGTTTGAATGTTATATTCTTGACAATTACATTGGTTGATCATGACACAACCAACGTCGAAATATTGATAGTAGCAACTAATTCTTGACTGGGGCAAAAATATTAGTAACTAACCAACTAAACGTCACCATCTGTCTGTGTTTGTACCACAAAATAGTATCATGCCACGTACTTAGAACACGTGTGTTCACAATATAAACAAAGTATATTTCACAACTATCTCTGCATTTCTGTACGAAGAGGTGCACATTTTCAAAGATGTAGCAAAGATAACATCATCCTGTCATCAAAACCAGCCAAGAAAGTGTTGGGTTTGTTTATACAACCTGTTTAATTAAGTTGTAGTTTATCAAAACCAGCAATTTGGACAATCTGTAGCCACATCTGCCCACGTAGTTGAGCCTTGCCCCGCTTAGAGTTGTGTAATTTGTGGACACTGGGATAGTGATAAACCACGGCTACATTGTGAATAACATATACACTAGCTGTACAGCACACTATGATACATGTTAACTGAAGAATGTGAATAAAACACAAACATGGTCAACAGAACTACAAAAAACAAACAATACAAATACAACGAACAGAAAACAACCAACAACAGACAACAAACAACAATCGGCACAAGACAAATATTTGGGTCTATTCTACAAGTAGTCTGTGTAATTTTAGCGAATTTCCCATACAGGGAATAAGTTATTAGAGCAGGTCTCATAGTAAGACCTAGACCCGGGAAGATTTACATTTTCTTTTTGAGGTCCCCAGAGGCCAAAACACCATCCGTTCAAAGTCTAATATGTGTTAGCGCGATAATTCGAGCGCAATAATTAGAGCAAAAATGATCCGATTTTGATGAAATTTGGTACAAACGTGTAAACTTACGTTTATTCGAACGAGTTCGCGAACCAGCTTAATCGGACAATGGTAATTGGGGTTAAAGCAAATGGGGGTTGGTTTTATAGGGTTAAAATGGATTTTTCCTATTTTTGACCCTAAAAACAACAAAATTTCATAATTTCTCCCTAAACCATTTTGTAGAGCTTAATAAATAAATAATTTTGTATATTGAAGCGTTTTATGCCCAACGGTTACGGAGATAATTTTTACAAATTGTAAATTTAAAATTCCCATGTTATTCTTATAGAGAATAAATAAACTGTTGTAGTTTGCTTGTTTATGGATATATTTAAACCAAATTTGGAAATTTTGTTTATTTAGTGTGTTGTTGTTTATGTTTATTTACCATAAAAACAACATAATTTCATAATAAACTAAATTTCCAAATTTGGTTTAAA